ATTTGCAGTTTTCATGCTTTGGAAACTGCATCTCAGCATGAAAACATTTGCTACTCCAGTAATTTCATTATTTTGATGCTTGTGAACATACGTGAACAAGGGAATTCGTACCAGTTATGCTTTGGGAAAGCAAGGGAAAGCAAGATAGTTTAGACCTGCTGGAGAAGCAGCTGTCATAAATAACAGGGGGCTGACCATGCAGTTCTGTGGGAAATATTTTGTTTATCAAGGAGTACTTAAAGGATATATAAAGTTTCCATAAGGCTATTTTGATGCAAGTGAATTTCTTTGTCTTTTTGATGGTAAGATCATCAGGAATATTTTGGAGTGGCTGTATTTAATTCTATGGGCATTTAGCAAAAAAACTTTCCCCGAGTTTTCAGAATGAGGGTTTGGGTTGTTTTTTTTTTCAGAAGTGGAGTCCATCCTCCTCCTGTCTGCTGGAAAGACTTCTTTCTGTCCAGTAACTTGTAAAGGAAACCCTGGAAAAACAAACTCCTAATTCAGTGCTTGTTATCCCCCATCATACTCCCTGAAAACACCTCTTTGCATATTTCATTCATGCAATTAAAGTATTTTGAAGCTTAATCAGAATAATGTAACAATTAAAGGCACTGTATTCTTTCTCTCAAGTTTTCACTTCTGAAATATTTAACAGTAATACACCTTAACTACTGATGAAGGTTTCATCCTCTTTTTCAATGGTGTTGATAGTCCCTTCTGTCACTTTAAACCCATTCCCTAAAATAGCATAAGAATAAATGCACGGTTTCTGAAAAAAAAAGTTAAGTTTATTTTTTTTTGAACAAAATATCTACAATGACATGGGTGACACCATAAATTTCACATATTTTAACGCTTCTGTCTGCTGAGAATGTCAGTTTAAGTGCAATATGATACTGTAATACAATAATAAGTAATTTAATCAAATCCATGCACAACACATTTACTAAAAAGGAAGTACTTTGGGATGAAATTGCCATCAGACAGAACTCACAGGAGAATATTTGAAAACTCACAGACAAGTCATTAATGCACTATCATAGTAAGTTTTTTCTTTTTTCTTGCTGTAGCCTTTAAAAAGCCAGGATCACTAGCACAAAATACTGCATATTATGTTAAACCGTTATGTCAAAAGCTTATGGCACAATTTCTTTTTATACAGCTCACAATTACATACCATGGAACATCAGTAACTACTTTAGTCCATTTCATCTGTTAACATCACTCTGTCATACACTAAAATATAAACATAAGAAATGTTTCTTGCATATTTCACAAAGATGGAAGTGAAGTACAGTAATATTCGAGCATGTCAAGAATACAGGATGAGGCAATATCTTTCTGGCATTTAACCCACCACTTCTAGCAATCTAACCTGCTTCCACAAGCCTTCCAAACTGATAGTATTTCAGTAACTACTGTAGGTGGTGTGCGTGGCCTAAAGGCACCTTTTCCATAACCAGTCTGAAATAGAATACCCATTTTATTACTAAGAAGTAGTTTGGTATGTGATTTAAGTTTTTCTTCTTAGTTGTCTCAAAAAAGAAAAAAGGCTGTGATGATCTGATATAGCGCTCATCTAAACAACCATTTCATTCTACAGTAAGATGTGGATAAAGTTATTTTACTACCTCACAGGGGTACTGTAAAAATTAATAGCTCATTCAGCAGTTTCACAGTTTAAGGCCAAATTCTGCTCTGTTGGATTAGATTAGTTCCTATGGTAGTTCAAATGAGAGCAGAAGTTGCATATAAAGTATATCTATCTTTGCAACCATCTGCGCTTGGGCTAGGAAATGTATAAATAAATTTATTTAATACAAATTATTGCTAAAAATAAAACTTTTTTTTTTTAAGCTTAAGGAAGACTTCTTATCTTTCCCTGCTATTAAAAATATAATTTTTTGTACAGTTTATTATATTCTATTCTTATCTACATTATCAACCTACCGCTCTGTAAGGGATTACAGTACAAACCGTAAGCAGTATCTTACTCTTCACATGTAAAGTGCACAACTAAATAACCTAAATATAAGTCTTTTTAGTGACTAAACAGACTCATCTCTCACACATCACAAAGATTTTGGAACAAACTCTAATAGAGAGAATCCAAAGAAAACCAATATATAATTGAGCTGAAAAAAGAATTAATTCCCACATTCCTCCTGAATTCCTCTAACCTGTTTAAATAGTAGTGTTTGCTGTAAAAACTCTTTGAAAATAGAATGTGCTTTACTTTGGTGTTAAAATAGGTAAATTCAACAATAGTATCCATTCCCTTTCTCTTTCAAGCTTCCTCAAGTTTATCATCATTATAGAAAAATAAGCCATCCCTCTAACCATGCAAGCCTATTTTGTTGATGGTTTTAAAAATAAAATGTATTTTGCTATTCAGAATTTAAGCAGGAGTTTGGTATTGTGGTAGTTGAGTGTATCTATCTTTCTCAAGGTCCTGAAGATTTTGGCTGTACAAGAGGTGACATGGATTTGACCATAAGGTACATTTATGGTCTTTATTTTATATATGCTAGATGATGTTATTTTTCCTTAGATTAACATACTCTAGTCAAAAAGAAATGTGACACAGGGTTCTTCCCCTCTCTGAGGTAACATGTTCATATATGAATGAAGGATCTTGTCCTTCTTGCTTAATAGTTTACATTCCTTCTGACTCCTTTATATTTTGCCGGTGTTGTAATCCAAGCTCTCTTTTATCACTTTCAAGATTTCCTGATTTCTCTGTTTAAGAGCATAGACCTTTTCTACCTTAAAGCGTGAAGAAAGAAATTAGGCGTAAATTTGTTTTACTCTGCACTACTCAAATTTGTTAATGTTTTCGAAGTAAGGTAGTACTACATGTGTGAGAGCAACAGTATTGAATGATTGGGAAAGAGGCAATGTGAAGGTGGTACTCAAGTGTTGTAAACTAGAATAACTAGGAGTTATTCTGATCTGGTCAGCGTTTTTTTATGCACTTACCCACTCAAGTATTCTTTATTGAGAGCAAGTCACATATTTTAGAAGAAGAAAGATAAGCCTGAAAGATACTGTAATTTTTTGTGATTTCCTCTTGATTATGGATGCAGTACTTCAACCAGTCCTTAAACAAAATACTGTTGACTTTGCTGATAGCAGAATTAAATTGACATCCCTTTTCACGCAATACAGCTGAAGATAACATTGAGAGAGATGAATATAACCCAACTGAAATGTCAGTCATTAGTTCATGATACTCCCTCACACAGATGAGCACCTTCATAAGTGAACAATATATTTTGGAACATGCACATAAAGAGATCAACAAAACCAAGAGACAACCTCAGCAAGCAACAATTGTTTAAAGTTAATTGAATTAAGTTCAGATCATAACTGAGGAAAACTATAAAAAATAATGCAGTTTTAAAATAAAGGAGGATTATAGAGCTTCTTTCTGACACAGCTGAGCAAAATCTGAGAGCTACTGTTTTGGAATCTCTCTAACTAATCCTTGGAGGAAAAGAACAGCAAACCCAACCAAACCCAAGGTTGCTATGTTATAATCCTTAGTGCAGAATTACATTGCTCCTGTTACTTCATATGCACCATGCCTTTCGACAGTGAACCAGATGTTTGCCTCCAGCTGATTTTGCTTTTGTATACACATTTTGATCAACAACAAGCCAAAAATTTAAAACATATTCAAAACAAAATTATTTTGTAATGAGAAACAGCCTCAGCTACTAGACTTAAAGTATCTTGTAGTTCTAAATGTCAGATTTCTGTATCTTAGCATGTTTTTGTTCTGCAATAGACTGGCAAAAGTAAACACTTTTGCCTACAAACGAAGCCATAAATGTGATCTATTGTGTTACAAATCAAAGAAGAAACTAATATGACTTATTTAATCCTAAACATGGAAAATCTCTCAAAGAGTTTTAATAGTTGTTTTCCTGTTTATTAATGTGAAGTATAATAAACGTAGAAGACCATCCAGACCCTTTTTCATGTTTCGGAACTGCAAGTTTTTCCAAAATTGTGAAGTGCTTCTTAACCAGTATCTAAATCATATCAATATGCTTCAAAGAAAAAGACAGAAAACTTGATACGTTCATAAATGAAAATTCCTGTATTTATGTAACATACAGGAGATAAATGTGCATTAACACAGCCGTAGTCTTCCTCCAAATATTTCAGTTAAGCAGTTGACTACTTGCTTTTAGTTTTTGTCTAAGATATCTTTGTGTTGAATCAGAGTGAAGCATTGCAAAATTTCAGTGTAGTTTGCCTATCTCACAAGCTTATGAGTTTTATCAATTGAGAAAAAAAAAAACCCTTCAAAAATATAAAAAGGATTAAAAAATATTATAAGTTTCAATTATCAAAGCACAGATAATTAAAAGGAAAAAAATTCATTTGCAGGAATAAATACTTCATAAATTTTAATATATTTATCATGTGATATGCTGGCTATTAGGCTGTAGATACCTTGTGCTGCCTGAGATGATTTTAGCATACACCTTCCAGGGTAACAGTAGTAAGAAGTTCACTGAATAAACTACATAACTTAAATCTATCAAATATGTTTGTTGCAAAACCACAGGTACTGTCCTTCAGACAATAAAATATCCTTAAATCTGTAATCTCAAATCAGTAATTTTGCATTATTTTGTAAAATTAAATTAAAGGTTTCAAATACTAATCTATTCTGTAATACTGTGGGATTTACTCAGGGTATTCTGAATCCAGTTTTAAAATTAAAAATATACCAGAATTAAAAAAAAATTTAAGGAACATCAAAGAGTACTGTGCAATTATACCACTATGTAACAGTATGTATAGATACTTGGCAGTAAAGCTTCAGTAGAGAGTGATTAACAATGAAAAATAGTTGATACTTAGTTTGACACAGAAAATTTGCAAGAGCAGATGTATCTTCTCTGGGTGTTATTCTTCCATTCCACTCTGACTGGGCATTGCAGGCCTTTCGGGATCTCCCCACCTCCTTCCCTGCCAATGCTTTTAATTCTCCTGGTCACTCTTCCAATGTGCATTTCTAACTGAAAGCCTCCTGTTGAATATAGCAGACAGATCTGTACGTATTGCAAGCCTTAATCTTGTTATTGGTGAATGTCCTCATGCCTGATGATTTTGTAAATTACCCAGTAAAAAATATTGAAAATCAGGAAGGCTAATGGGAAACAAGCTCTGGATATCGTGTCTATCTTCTTGGCCCGGTCAATGAATACCTTTCTCATGTCATCAGGGCTTTTTGGTGCAGCTTGAACAGGATTATTTGGCCCCTTTTGGGTCACTCCATCTTTTGCTTGCAGACATGGGCCCATTCCATATGCTGTAAAACTAAACTGACTTTCCCTTACATCATCATCCTGGTTTGGGGGGAGGGTGAGGGAGGAAAGAAAGGAAAGAGAACAATCAAATAATGTTTTTCTACTTACAGAAATCTTACCAGCAGCTAAATAACAAGTATTGCACCATTACCTCAGTGACTTCTTGAATCCACAGTTTATCTCAACTGGCTGAAATTTCAGCCATATCAATGCCTATCAAAAATATTGCAGCAGGCAAAATAAGTGCAGAATTTTCCTATTTGTTTATAGATTCTCTAATCTACTTAAAGAAAAGAGAGAGCTTGATAAACTATTGGTAATCAGGCACACAAGTTTAATTTTTCGCATTTACAGTAAATATCTGCAGTCTTCAAGTGGGCAGACTTCACACTCGTCTAAAAAGACAACACCCATTAACTCTATGTTGCTTAACAAATTGGAATCTTGGCATCTAGAGATGTTCATCACAGAAGCACTAATGATGTTCATGTCAATTATATTAATGAGAATTCTGCCTATTTGGTCACTGTATATTTAGTTAATCTTATCTGCATGCCTCATTTCTGGTCTTCCTGTGAATACACCAGATAAAGAGAATAGTATGTAAAGCGTCTTAGTTTTAAATAAAATTAATGAAAACTAAAGGCCAGATTTTTCTTCTGATTCATTCTTCTGACAGTTCAGGGAAAAACTAGCAAAGACATTATGTATTCAGGAAGCTATAAGTGAAAGCAGGTTTTAATCATGTGGCACAGAAACAAAACTGGGAGATATGAAGATACACATATTTTCATAGCATGCATTTCAAGAATGTGGCTTCTGTGGGGAGACACATTTTGTACTTCTTTTTAAATGGCTATAGGTATTCTCAAGTAGTAATGGAGGTACAAATGCAGGTAAATACATGATATATAGGCTGTGAAGCCTGGGCTAAAGTTTGTTCTGAAATATATTCCAGTGTATTCTTGCAATATGTATGCTACTCAAGGATAGTAATGTGATTTTGATGGTATTCACTATTTTTTAAATACTGATTTTAAATTCAGGATTTCCTATATTTCATGTCTAATTTAGCCTAGCTGCTTTAGGATTCTAGACTTTTATGAAGTATGACAAAGTATTATGTATATATGATTTTTTAAATAAGTATTTTTGAAAATAATTTCCATAAGTATAAAAAAAAATTAATCAGCAGTCAATTTTCCTTTTGTAGACAATTTTTTATATCTTTGAGGCTCTTCCTAGCGTAAATGAAAATGAAAGGATAAAATATATTATTTACCAAAGCAAGTCAAATAATTAGTGTTTAAGTTCAGTAATTCCAAATCATTTTTTAATTTAAATCTCTTAGTTTACGCAAACATAATTTCTCAGTGAACACAGTTCAAATCCAAGCTTCTAAATTTTTTGTTTTGAAAATGCCTGTGAGAATTGGAAAATCTGAAAGTGTTTTTGAATGGAGAATTAATTCTAAACATATTCAGAGTTTCACTTAAGTAGTACTTGTTAGAAGAACCATTGTTAATTACTTTGTTTAAAAAAATCCAATTACGTTTATCATCAATATTAGTTGAATGAGTTATCTACAAAAGAATGCAGACAAATTACTGTGTTTGAAGTGAACTAGTTGGCAATCAGCATGAGCACCCAGAAGAGTTGTAATTATTAACTGCAATACTTTTTCATACATGTAAATTAAATAAACTAATAGACTAATATAGTTTACTGAAACTTCTATACTTAAAATCTATTAGAATTCTCCTATAAAAACAAAAGAGAAAAATTAACATGAAAGAAAATAACTGACTGACTTCAATATGGAAATGAATAACAGAAATACAAAATGATAGGGTCATTATTTGATGGGGTGATAAAACAAACATCTAATTACTATAAAAGTGTTCCTCTCCTGTCAGAAAAGAATGGGAAATAACATCTTTATAATAGTTCTATTCCAGAAAAGTTGTGGAGTTGTATTCTAGTTAACAGGAGCTACAAATACATGAAGTGTGAGAATTTACACTAAACTTGCAGTTTAAACAGCTTCATACATACAATTCAGGGTTTAAAATCTTTCCATGCTTCTCCAGAAAACAATCCTTATGATTGCAAGGGTTCAAAAGGATAATAAAATAGTCTTTCTGAGTAGCAGCTTCCAGCTGAGTATGTTTTCAGAATGAGGCACTATATGCTAAGACTTTGCTATCCCTGTTCTATGCTTTCCTGAATTGAGTGATCCCCTAAAATGGTCATAAAGGCCAAATCTCTGCTTATTTTTTTGCTTGCATTGAAAATAAGTCTGTGAGCAGGCTGCTTGGAAATGTTCTCAGTTGTTGAGCTAGTGATGTGAAGGTCTTTCTAGGAGTCTTGAATTTCTGCTCAGTGTCTGTTGGATGGTGTCTCCATGAGGGCAGGCAGGGTGGTTGGACCCTGCCAAGTCAGACCAAAGTGCTAAGGCTAATGGTTATGCAAGAAATGGCACCTTTGGAGCATTGTAATATTCCAGGTACCACCATATTTTTTTTCTGTGGTTATGCAAGTTTTTCATCAGGCTCATAATGCAGAAAAAACATTAATTTGGCCCCAGATTCATATCTAAAGGTGCTTGTGCACAACAGGAAAAATGCAGTTACTTTTACTATTGATATTAACTTTTGAGTTAATAAAATATTTAGCTATAAAATATTGAAAGCTGTCAGTTTCTGTGGCCCTGTGACTATGCTGTTTTCTATGCATATATTTAATAATACATTTCCCTTGAGGAGTAATATGCATAAGGGCTGAAAATATCTCCATAGCCTTTTGACTGTAGGCTATGGTAGCAGCTTGAAGAATTATTTGAAGCTTTGGTTTTGGTTATTTGAACACTATATATTTTTACTGTTCATTTTTGAGAAAAAAAGTATTATTGAATTGTCATGCACTACAAACAGCTTGGTTTTAAATACTGATCTGGTAGCAAATGATTATTCTTTGAATTGATGTCACTGTTCTTCTGAAGTTGCAGGAAGTATAATTTTAATACTATGTTTGGATCCAGACTTAAAGAGATCAAGATGGATTACAAAATTAACAAAACAAGTACCTTTATTAACATTTCACGTCATCACATACAGGTAGCAATGAAGGTATATGGAGTTCACACAGGAAGACATTATTTCAGACAAAAGGATAGGGCCTCTGTTAATGATTGGATATCACATTATGACAAATGGGACATCTTCTTCATAGTTTACCCTTAAATTTGTACTGTAGATTTGAGGCAAAGTTCCGTCTATAGGTCCTGTACATCTCAAGCCATTGCTAAGCTGCAATGATTCACTGATTTCATTTCCATCAAGAACTCCCTCAAAACACTTTCATCAAAACGGATGGGTTGACCAAAAAGAAAACAAAAGAAAAGAGGTATGATTACCATTAAAGACAATCTAGTTTGCATGTCTATTTTCCTCACTAAAGACACAGTGATCTTTAGATTTGTGAAAATAGACTTAAAAGATTGACTATTCCTGAAAACTAAATATATTAAAAAGCTAATCTAAAATCAAAGTGCTATTCAGTATATGTATACAGTTAATGTTTTTCCCCGTACAATGTAAATGCAACTAAGAAAAAGGTGCTGATTATAGGTGTGTTTCAGTATCCCTGTATGACTTCTAACTTGGACATTTTTTTTTCCTTTTGTCTTTTAAGACTGAAAGGAGTGTAACTGTAAATGAGTAATTAATATGCATTCAGAAGGAATGTTTCCATCATATTAGTAATATAATAACTGTGATATAGTTGTGTTCACTGGCCAGATTTCTTTCTCTGATGGAGACAAAACACTATGGATCATATACTGACTACTGAATGAAGTCTCAAATTTGGAACCGAAATTCCCATGTTCTCAGGATTCATTATGCCATTTGTGTAACTGCAAAGAAATTAGGCCTTTTTTGAAAAATATCCTATACCTATTCTGATGCCTATTGGAAAACAGCAATGAGTATGCTGCATATTATTTTTTTACCTATAAATGTATTTATACACAATCCCAGAGCTTCAGACTTTTTGTTTATTCTGTGCAAATTGAATTTGGCCTCTGAAAAGAAATTTGTCTTTCAGTTATTGGGAGTCATTGAGCAAGGTCGATACTTACAACTATAAAAATGGTAGCCAGAGGGTGCAGTTATACCTAAGAATCGCCTTGATGCTGCTGTTACTGTTTGGGAAGGGAGGCTGCAAATGTACAAGATGGTGTAAAAAGAGGCAGTGACTGTAGGTGGAAAAAGCATAAAGAAAATGGCAAGGATAGATGAGCTTTGGATGCCAAAATGTCTTGATACAGCTCTGTACATAATTACATTTTGTGTAACTGTATAATTTCCCATAGAACTCCGCAGCTCTTTTGTTTGCTGCACTTGTTTACTGTAAAGGGTTTATCTGAATCTGATCATATGCTTTTTAAGAGAGAGATTTCAGTTCTCCTTTGTTTTTATGCAGCATTGAAAAGGAATAGCCCATAGTTGTGATTAAATTTGCAAAATAATCCAACCTGGGAAAAATTGCTAATTTGTTTGAGGATATGTCTGGAGTTAAAGTTGAGTTCAATGATTTGGACAGAGTAATACAGGAGAGTTGGTAGGTACAAATACAAGGTACTACATTTAGCCAGGAATAATTAACTTCACAAACAAGATGGGAAGTGAGTGGCCCTGCAGTAGTTCTGGAAAAAGACCTGTGAGTTATGGAAGGTCACAATCTTGGTATGGGTCAATGGGTCAATACATGCTGTTGTCGAAAGGGCAAATGGCAGACTGGTTTGAAGAAACAAATTTATATCTTACACCATGTGATCCTCTAGCTGCTCTCAACTGTTACTGGCTAGGCTTCATGTTGCAAACGCAGTTTTGAGGAATTACATGGACTTATTAGGAGAATAGGAGAATTTCCAAAGAAGGAGATTAAAACAAAACAAAACAAAACAAAAACCAAAACTGGGAATATTTAAAGAAAAGAAGACTGAATGGAAATGTACAAATGGCATGTAAAGAAATGAAGTATTTTCTTCTCTGTGTTCCTTCTAGACAAGCCATCAAAAAAATCTTTCTAAACCATTGGAATAGATTGCAGGAGAGCTTGTGGAATTTTTATGAGTGTGATGAATTAGGTATAACTGATCCTGACTTAAGTCAGGAAAATGGATTCTTTGACCTCTGAGAGGCATTCCAGCACTGAAATTTAATCATCTGGCCATTGCTAGGGTTACCTGGTAAAAGTAAATATTTCTTGCAACAAGCACATCTTTTTAATTACAAAGAAAATAGACTTTGGAAATTCTTCAGCTGCCTTATTGCAATTAGAGATTATGCATACATGTTCTCTCCTGTCAACATATACCTGAAATGAACCATTTCCAAACCCCTCTATTTTTGGACTTTTGCAACACAGTTAAACCACTAAGAATTTTGCTGTACCTTTGCAGATAAAAAGCCAGAGCCAAAAAATTCTATATTCAACAGCTGGAATTCACCTGGTAGAAAAACCTAATCCCAGTAAAATGTCCCCAGATGCTAAGCACATAGGATGAAAAAATCTAAGAAGTTATCCTAACTGTTCTATTTCTGTAATCTATTTGGACATAAATACTGAACAGAATAGTAGTTTCACTTTAAGAAGAAAGAGGTTTTAATGTTCAAGGAAGCCCCTGAAGTTTATTTTAAACATAGCCTTTTAACCTGTATTCTTTTGATGTCTTTTGACTTTGTGGTCAAATGAACATTTCTTTATACATGGTAGTTTTAAAAGTCAGTACAATCTATTTCCTGAGGGTTTAACCTAGTCCAAAGGGATAACAAACACATACAAAACTTTGTAATCATAAGCTATAGTAACTGACTTTGGAAAAGACAAAAGAAGAAGGAAGCAAAGGTTAATTTGAATTATGATCCTAGGGTATGCATTTCATGTTAGAAATTGTGGTGAATAAATAATAGCATTTGTGGTAAGGAAACCCAGTTATTAACTGCTTTCTTTAATCTGGAAGATGTCATTTATTATTTGTATACCAGAGGCTTTGGATGAGATTCAGTTGTTTTGAAGAGAGAATATCTCTATGCTGTAACATTTCAACTTCTAGTGTGCTTGTTGGGCAAGGAATGTTTACTAAAACATTGAGAAAAAGAGAAGCAATTAGCTGAGCTGTCTGCAGATCTTGAGAAGGTGTATTCTCAAAAGATAACTCTGGCTGGGAGCTCTAGCCTTACATAGAATGGAGTCAGTCAAGAAACATTCAGTTAAATTAATCTTTTCAGAAAAAATGTCTACGTCTCAAAATCATAACCTTGCATGGGAACAAAGCATTTCTTGGTAAATTTAGGCTAAGAAACTTGTCTCATGATGAAACATCCCAATACAGGGAGGAAGGGAAAGCCATATCCCCCTGAATATATATAATACCCTCACCTAGGTATGTGTGTTGGATGGGTCTAACACAGTAAAAATTGGTCCTTGATGGACCATCCCCAATCACCTGGAGTGGGGGTGCACGGCGGGGAGCCAGCAAGGCCAATACTCCTGGCGCAGGCTGAGCCCCTGCATCAGGACGAATGTGCATGGGAAAAAGGAGCCAGCAGGGCCACTCTTCGGGATGCAGGCTGACCCCTGTGTAGGGATGAGTTGGCACTTTCGAGTTATAAAAGGCCCGGGGTTCAAGAAAGATCGAGAGAGAAGAAGAGAGGGAGAGAAGAGTAGAGGAGAAGAGAAGAGGAGAGGGAGATGGGGGAGACGGATCCAACTAACTTTATGGCCGACATTGTCTCTGTTGTGGCTCACCTGTCCCCTGCCCAGTAATCTGTCTCTGCCTGTCCCATTTACCCATTCCAAACCATTAAGCAGCTTTCAGAGAGCTTCCACATTTAAAAAACAATTAACCTGTCACAAAAATGTGTCTCAGAAAGTGGTTTTTTCTGCTACTGCCAGTGAAAAGAAAAAAGCACAGTTTTTCACAGGGACAAATGTTGAAAGCAGTTACAGGCAGTCTGAATCAACCTGTATGCTACAGTACATGAGTTTCTCTCTGCAGCTGAAGAAGTCTAGGGCCCAACACACTGGAACAGCCAAATGTATGAGAATGTCATATTCATTTGACTGTCCAGCCTGTCTTTAACATGAAGTCTTGCTAGCAGAGACTGCTTAGGTAGGCTTTCCAGCATTACGGATTTTCCATATCTTCTAAGTAAAAGGATAACAACCTGTAAAATGACCTCCCCTTGTGATGTAAGCAATAAATTGAGGTAAGTCTTCAGAAACAAAAGATGGCTGAGCTGAGGCATGTTTTTACGTCAGACTTTCATCCACAGTCATACACTAGATAGTAACTGAAAGCCAGCAGAAAGGCTCTGCATGTCATCAGTGGTGGGTATTCATTTAATGAGTAGGTTGGAGAAAAACTTACTCTGAAAAATCTGAAATAGGAGTTACATATTGTTGTAAGAAATCTTGCTTATTGCTTGATTTGACTGCAACTTTAGAATTCAAACCTGTAGCCTTAGCTGTTTGACTTTGCACTTGGTGGCTTATTTTGCGGGTAGTCTAAATAGCTTCAGCTACAAAATAGATATTAATAACCATTGCTATATTAATGTTTCTTACTAGTTGTATGAGCAATTTACACTAAATTAACATGTCAGAAGAAAAAAACACTTCTCAGCCTTTTAAAATAAAATGTTTGTTCTTTCACCAATAATATTAATTTTTTTGTGTTAAAAAATTTTTACATAAAACACTGCTGCTAAGACTTTGAACTGAATACTAGAATGAACTTAGGAAACGTTATTAGTTAGATCTCAAAGTAGTAAAAACTGCTGCAAGACCAGTAACATTCATCCACTGAAGAATCTAACTCTTCTAACAGAGTGAAATTCGTGCTGTGCAGATGGCTCCCACATGGCCCATGCCTCATTTAAGTCCTTCTTGATCCCTTTTTGAGACTTCAAGTTGGATTTATGCAGTGCATAGCCCTTGTAGTGACCCTCTACCTATAGTGAATGCTGCTATTTTATTTATATTGCCACTTTAAGCTGCACTATGTTTACCACATTAACCTTATATCCTGACATAAATCAATCTCATTCTCTTTCAAAGTTGTGAATATTGTTACTTTTACCTTATTCTTCTTCCTCTTGTGGCGGAATCGCAGAAGTTCTTTATGCTGCCTTGACACAAAGTTTACAGCTGCATACTCTAAAAGTGCAGAAAATACAAAGAGCAGACACACAGCCATCCAGATGTCAATTGCTTTGACATATGACACCTACGGAGAGAAGGAGAAGACTGAATGTGTTAAAACCACATATGTGAAGTTTAGTATTTCATATCAGGAAGGAGGAAGTTCATTAATATCTCCATATTCCAACACTACTTTTATAAACCAAAACTTAACATGAAAGCTAGATAATAAGAGGGACAACAATTCAAGCTGTGTCAAATGTTTTTTTTAAAAAAGGTAGTATTTCACAAAATGTGTTTACTGTTTATGTTATTAGCAGTTTCTTATAATGTACTGTGTACGCTGTATCACAAACCAAATAATACACAAGAAGCACATGCTCTTCCTCCATTTGTCCCACTGAGATCTGTGAATGATACTAAGGAGCCAAAGAATAGCTTATACTGAGACCAGTGGGAAATCCTGTATTATAATGGATCTGATTTAAAGTGCCTGGAATAGAAATTAGGTAGAAGAAGGGACATAGATGAACAACTCTGGTATGTTCATTCTCTGCTAATATAAACACAGTAAATCAAAGATACAGGTTCAAATTAGTCCTGTAATTTTGATACAGTGGAACTACTGAAAACCAGTTACAGAGTAGGTAAACTCATTGCAATCCTTTCTTGCCAAGCTCTGCTGTAGGACATAATTTGAACTAGAAAATAGTGCCTCTTGCTATGTGTAGATTTACAAGAGCTTTGTCATATAAACCAACATAACTAGCTTCAGGCTTAAAAAATGTGACAAAAAAAAATCTGTAGCTGTTTTTGGTAACCTCTTACATTCTTGCTTTTCTGAGTTTTTATACAGTTCTGTTTTCTTATCTGTTGATGCTAGATTGAGGTGCATTTAGATCCATATATTTGAGGCACAAACACACCCCTGTTAGGGACATTTATTTTCCTTGGGGAAAAAAAAGTAATTAGCCAGCAGAAAAATACCATGCTAAAACTAAATACAGAAGTGGACTTTGTGTATTTTTATTGTATATATTTTATTCCTATTAAGTGCAGTGGCACATGAAGGTGGTCAAGCAATAAGCCTTAAAATGAAAGTCTTTAAAGCAATGACAAGTCAAAAAACCTAAATAATTAATCATAAAAATATGATTTAAGCTATTTACACAGTGTGTAGCGAACCATTCTCTATACAGTTGTCTGGAACTATTTAGCTTCACATTTTTCTATATTTTCATGTAAATGCGATTGTAACTAGTGAGTTAATCCATAATGTTTTGAGAAAGGAATATCATTGAGAGCAGGCTGGAATCTATGACCTTTAGAAATTCAGTGATATCTGTTAGCGTGTCATAAAATACTGGGATCTGGGAAAGGATGAACTAGTTAAATGCTAACCAGCATTTATGTAGTACCGAATAACATTGATTTCATTACTTATTGAGGTTTATGGAATTTAGTAGATAGTTGCCTAAATAATTGAGATGAGAGGAATGGAATATATTTAACTGGTGACTCAAAACCCCCCTAAATATTTCCAAGTTATTTATCTCCTTTAGAAGATGTTTGAATACTAATAATTCAAACAAACACACATTATAAGGTTGACTGAAGGTGTTTATTTGCCACACAGCATTATGAGTTTGTACTAATGTAGTACAAACAAAGGAAATTCTACCTACCTTTGGAAGAGATGCTCGTGAACCTGAGCTTTGTGTTGTCATGGTCAGTACAGTTGTTATGCCTAAAGCCACTCTAGCTGGAGCTGCATCCATATTGATCCAAAATGACACCCAGGAGAGAATGACGATCAAGAGACTTGGTATGTACATCTGGATGAGATAGTAACCCATCTGCCTCTCAAGGTGAAATCGGACTTCAATACACGTAAACTTTCCTTTTTACAGCAAAGAAGAAATATTCAATAGAAATAGAATGTTCTTTACTGTCAACATCTAGTGCACACATTAAAGAATTTACACTCCATCAGATTCTTTGTTCTCTAATGAAAGATGGATGTTCTGATTTCTCTTCAGTGATTTTTAATATGCACGATCTCTACTATAGCAGGAGTATTTACTGGAAAGAAAGGGGACAGAAAACCTGAAAACATAAGAATTCAATAACTTCTGGAACTCTTCTTTCCTTATAAAAAACAAAACACAATTAATTATGACATCGGAAAGTTCCTCTATGTGATCATACTTGTTTTTCTGTTGTTTGGAAATGCTGCTGTATGCAAAGAAAAGGCTTTCTCTCCCATTGTATAACATCTCCTTTATCTTTTGGTTCAATTTGAAGCTTAAATTTATTTTTTTTTTTAGTCCAATGAATTTGAGAAAAATATAGTGAGATCACTTTGGGCATTAGGATTCTGCTAAATCTCTCCTTTTATCCCTATTCAAACTGTTCCACTTCAAAAGGACAATGACCGAGATTTAAACAGAAATTGAGGATTTGAGATTAGGCAACTTTAGGAAGCTAATGAAATGGCTTATTTTTTCCCACGTACTGAACATCAAATCACTTAAACCGAAACAAAAATATTATTGTTTGCTCATAGAAATGTCATAAACCCATTTTTTTTCTCTTATCTAGATTGCTTTTTTTTTTTTTTTTTTTTTCCCCTATGTGAACTGTAGATTATTTTGCAGATCTCGACCTGGTCTCATCAGATTTTCTAATTCTGCTCAATGCTCATATTAGTCACATATGAGTGGTGCTGACGGCAACGGTTACTGTAAATAGAGTATATGTGAATATACAGTTTCTTACAGCAGGAAATATGCATAGCTCAGATTTCTTCCTTATTTGAATGAAAGCATTTCCTAATTTAACATGGAAAGCTATATAGTTGTTTATTTCTTAATTGGTATGAAGTTTTTTGGTTATAGAAAGTATCTATTTTGATAGATACTTTCCTAATCCATTTTTATTTGCCAAAATGCTATTTTACAGCAAATTGTTCCACGTTAATAATGCTTTAATATTTATCACATTAACAAAATTCATGTAATGGACTTACTTACGAGCTTATGCTATACTAAGATCATATATCGTGTATTATGCTGTGCCAAGTGTTAGGCATACAGAAATGAGTTTCAGATAAAGTCAAATGGAAATGTTTTTGTTCTAGACTTGGAAATATCTTCCAAACTTAATTCTTTTCATAACAGTTCTCTTCACAGGCTATTGGTTCTTTCTATGATGTCATAGTAAATATCATTGTATAAAATTTTTATTCTGTTGAGACAGTAAAAAATTATTTAGAAAGATGGTAGTTATGACTTTCAATTCTAAAATTGCATGTTATATCTCAGGAGTTTTATATCTGCTAGCTCAATTATTAGTTCCATTCCTTAATTGCTGGTTTTTTCTGAATCCTATCTACACTCCTGAAATCTGTGTCCCAAATCCTGTCTCAACCATCTGCTGCCCCACTTCAAAACTGATTTCTGCTTCAGTCAAGGGATGAAGTCCCGGTTTAACAAAGTGGAGAGGAAAAGGCCAGCATTTTCCCTTACATTTCTCTTCCAGGTTCTTCAAAAGGTTAACTACAAGATACATTCTTTTACTTGGCAGTTCAGTACAGCCCATGTAACTAGAAGTTCTGCTCTGGACCTTTGTCAAAATCATATTCGTACTTCAAACTGCTCCTTACCCTGAAGATTTCTTTTTTGTGACAGCAGACTTGGACAGCACTGATCCCTCTCTCTCATACATCACAAGAAATCATGGGGGTAAGGAGTGACAGAAATGCATCAACCAGATTTAGGTCTCTTGCAAAGCCATTTTATTTGGCATCACAGTAATTGCAGTTCAGCATGAAACATTTCCATCTTATAGGGTCCTATATTCTTCTTTGAAAACAAATTAGGAAGCAAAACTAAGGAGCATCAGAGTAAGTAATATGTGCATGACTGGAGTATCAATAAACATCGGCTATTGCTTGTATACTGTTTTAGGTTTTTTTTTTTCTCCAGAGAAAGGTGGAATGAGAGATCTGAGTCTCTTTTCTGAGTACTCAGTGGACTTGAACTGTTAAAGAGCTCTCAGCACTGTGGTCCTAAAGAGGGAGCAATAAATAGTGTACTAGGTCTGATGTGGGGTTTTTTTATGTAGTTTCAAATTTGCCAGGTTTTTCTGAACTAAGGAGAGAGAAGAACAGCTATGGAGAACAGAACCCTGAGAAAATGAAAGAGATTTTAAATGAGAGAAGTACAAATGGAATATATTGTAATCACAGAAAAGGATAGAAAAGAGATGGGATTATGAAGAGGCCAAAACTTAAACTGAGGGATGTGTCAGAGGAACCATACTGAAAGTTTTTTTTGCTTGGATTTGTATTTTTCTAGACATTATTTACCAAGGTTAAAAATAACCCCCAAAACAAACAAAAAACCCCACCCCACCCCCCAGTCAAAAATTGAAAATAAGAAAGTGAAGTGTGCGTCAAAGAGGAAAAATGCCGTTCCCTAACTCCACAGAATGTATGACTTTAGATTCCTGCTGCCTTTGTCTCAGGCCCAGTGAGTTTGTGGACATGCCACTCGTATGTGTTCCTCATCTACTTTGTTCCAGCATAGCACTGAAAAACTGGTATGTGGCAACTTCCCTGGGAGACTGCTGTCTCCGCAGGTAGACACTTCTCTCTGTTACTCCATTACTAACTACTGGAGAAAGGCAACAGCTGGAAGTCAGTCTTGGCACTGTAGTTATAACAGTTGCTGGTCTAAGTGTGGAAGGGGTGATGTTAATTTTGCCCTTCCTGACTAAGATCAGAACCACTTGCATAAACTTGGCTAATGAAGCAGAATGTAAAAAAATAAAAATAGATTGCACTAGCAGCTGTGAGCTTCAGCTAGGAGGCAGCCAGGAGAGGCTGTGCTGTTGTTTTCCAGCTGTGGGTCTCCTTTCTCTTCCTGTATTTTATTTCAAATCCTAAGCCAGGTTAGCTGTGGTTTAATCTTTTTGACTGCATGCTTGACTGGATCAGAAGAGACATACCTGTGAAGTCATCTCAGCTGGGGAAACAGATATTCAAGCAGCTAAAAGCGTTGTTCTAATAATTCATTTGCAGTCCACAGAAGGTAAACTCTAGTTCATTCTGATGTTCACTGTGAATGTCACGGGAAGAGGCTAGGAGGAGTATGTGAAACCTTTGTGGCACTGTGGTTTTGCTGAGGCTGAGTAACAAATTAAAGCCTCATGTTAATTTCAGACTAAAGGTAAATCTAGACATGCACACTATCCATAAAATGGATAGATTTTTGTAATGCAAAAGAAGGAACAGCTATTAAAGAGCTTCTTAAAAGATAAACTTTTTTTTTCCTGAAACAGAGGTAATGTTCTTCATGTTTGGAAGTCCAGCTTAACCAGGGATTCAAGTGTGCTGAAGGCACCAAACATACTGCCTTGCTGAATGCTGTAGCTGTGCATACGAACTGAACATACTGGAGTATATGCATGTGATGGTGCATTTTTCCCTCTTACACACGTTCTTTGGAAACAAGGTCAGATCTGCTGTGCTGGCATGATTGCTATGCAATGTCCACACTGAATCCAATATTCCAGTCAATCTATATGATTTTTCTTTCCCCCAGAAAGTATAAGTGGCTTTTCTTTGGAGTCAGTGTCTAGGTCACATATTCTTTTTCTGGTTGTTGCTGCTGTGGCCAGCTGTGAGTAACCTGAGAGGAGCAATTTTCTACCTTAGCAAACCTTCATGCTGTACAGCCTCTTCTGATCATGGCAGGTGCTGTTTAAGTAGTGGGCTAAGCAGGCAGGAGTATGCTTGTGTAATTAAAAGGTACCGCCAGCCGTGTGGGATATGCAAGCAAAACCAAGCATAAGTAGTATCTTTCAGGCCATAAGGAGTCCTTTTCAGTTTCCTCTGCCTCAAACTGCTCCAGAGGCAGTAGTTAGTAGAACTTAAATATATTTGTCCCCTTTTAGCAACCTTTAGGACACTGCCTGTGGGAAGCTTTCATTACTGCACTATCACAATATCATGGTCATGTTTACAATTCCCAGGAAGACTGAGTAGCTGTTTCTGAAGCTACATAGAAAGTTTTCATAATGGAGAATCACCTTAGGAAACTGAGCCAAAGAAATAGCATGCCTGAGAGATAAAGATAATAATAATAATGTTTATTAAATCATCATGAAATTGAAAATTAATAACATAGCAAAATATAAAAGGAATAAGTATTAAAAAAAAGATAAATAAAAGAACTAAGAATGCAGAGATTCAACTGTTAATCTGTGGAGAATGGAGAGATATCTGGTGAAGGTTCTGTTTTTTGATACTTCTCTAGATTCTAGTGAGTCATAGTCTGGCCTTCATGTAAGAAAAGGCATTGATAATGGTAATAACTGATGTACTGTGGAAATATTTTGTGGATATAAAGAAGACTGTGGTCTAAAGACTGTATGGCTTAATGAAATTACATAAAACTATTTACTTAAGTAAGAATTTTATACTTGCTGAATAGAGACTAATTCAAAGCTTAGCAAAATTGAACCAAACTAAATTAAGTAAATCTGAATACATTCTTATGGAGCCCTGCAGGGTAGGAGTGTTTGATCTGGGAAGCAGATATTCTGTATTCTGATTCCAACACATCTGCAGTATGGAGGTGGACTACACGATTCTGTTTTTACTAGAGATTGATGACCAACAGCCAGCCAGCCCAGGGGCCAAAATATTGCTGGCTTTGGAGATTTGCTGACAGAGTCCTGGGGCAACTGAACTGTGATGATGCTCCTCTCCTCTAGCACTGTATTTTTCCCTTTGAAAAATATCTAGAGACACAGGTTTAACATGAAATTAAGTACTGAGAGATAGCAGGAAAGGAGAAATGGAGAGTGAGACTTCTTCCCTGGTATAGCCAAAACTACCAACTTAGATTTAGATCTCTTAATACAATATAGGGCTTCTACCATTCGTCTGACTTCTGGAAATCTTTTCTTTAGGCAGCTAATTCCTGTACTATGCATAAAGGTCCTAAGCATTCGAGCTCAATCTGAGCTTGAAATTATTTATTCTAGGTGCAGTCCTGAACCGGTGCAGTCCTGAACCACTGCAGTGTTTATCATTTTTAGACTTGTAGAAGTCACAGTTCCTAATTTCATGTGGAAAAGATGTACAGCAAAAGCAAGCTGATGCACTTTTCTCTATAGAGCAAAAGTTGAAAGACTCATCTTCTAAGACAAAACAATAGGTAGACTCAATAGGTAGACTCAAGAAACAGATTTTTGTATGGATTGATACAGCGTGGCTGCTGCACTTTATGACACTGTTTTCTAATGTTTAATACCTTGGATTGTCAGCTTCTGCCTAAATAGTTGCTATTGTAATGCTTTGAGTATTCCTGTTTCCTCTCTGTACCTTTGTATGAAGGAAAAAAGGACCATTGTTTACTCAAAACAAATGTATATTGCACTACAAAACACACTGAGGATAGTTAATGAGATAAAAACTATTTATAAAAGTACTTGTCTTTTCCTTATTGTAAAACATTCAGGCTGTATCTATGATCATTCAGCCTGACTAGAAATAATGATTTTCAAGTGTCTGGCATATAGAACTAGGCAAGTTCTCATATATATGGCTGGTGTCTATGTATCTAAACCCAAGATTCACAAAACAACTGTAGGAATGTACTAGCATTCAGTTTTCTTTTCAAGTCACAATCTGCAAACATCAGTGGCATATTGGGGAATATCGGTGCTGATGTTCTCATGTGGCATTGACTACATAAGTGTAAGTTCTTGGTCAGGAAGGAAGTGACTTTACACAGCTTGTTCTGCGGCAGGTGGTAAACTTAACATTGGTGTAAGACTGGTAATGACTGCAGTAAAAAGAGTTAAAAACAAATGTGGAAAGGAGCAACTAATTTTTTTTCAATTTGATGAATTTGCACTTGCTTGGAATGGAGGACCAAACTGCCATTCAGAAGGATCTCCATAGGCTGGAGGACCCACCACGACATCATGACAATTGATAAAGATAAATGCACAGTTCTGCAATGAAGTTGAGGTTACCCCATGCACTGGTACAGGCTGGGGATGGACTGGGTACGTTCTACAGGAAAGGTCTGGGAGCCTGGGAGATAATGAGTTGAACAGAAGTCTTGCAAGGCAAAAGACTAGTCACATGCTCCACTGCGCTAGCAGGGTTACAGAGGGGAGAATTAGAAACTAAGGAGAATCTGACAGCAACATAAATAGCAAGGACATCTAGATGTTATTTCTCTGCTTCAAGGACAGCTGATAAATTTTTATGCAATGAATATTTAAGGTAGAATGTTTCAGTTTTTATTGATGCAGGGGTGATAACTGAGGTCTCTTCTGCAGAGAAAAATGCCCTGTTGGAGTCAGGCAGTGCTGTTTTCTGTGTCTAGCAATGGTCACGTCCTCAGCCTGTCATGAACTCTGTTAGTTTTTCAAGGTGATTGAAATTAAAATTGGGTTTTATGAGAGCCCAGGAGAGCAACGCATATCACATAGGAAGTGAATGAAGACGTGGTAAAGCAAGACCATCCTTGTAATGTGAATGGTTTACATGTGATTTTTCTGCTTGTTATGATTCTACTTCACTTCCCAAATTTGTCACTGCAGATATGCCAGTCAACACAACATGAAAATATTCAGAAATGTTGTTGCGTCACTTCAGAACACAAGACTTGATGAGCCATTGTGCTGTACTGTTGTGAAACTGTTATGTCCCTATATTTAGAAGCAGTTTATTTTTCAAGCTGTGGTTACAGTAATCCATTTTCAGTTGGGCATGAAACACTGATGAGACATGCACTGATGAGCTTCCACATACTGTCCTGAAGCTTCACATTAATTTGCTTCACAGGGAGATGTTTGGGTTTTTTTTTTTCTGTTTTACAGGATGTCTCAGAAGAGCTTTCCATCCTGTGTTTTAACTAAATTGAAACTGAATACTCTTCTTTGGTCCCTTATTGCATACCAAGCATCAGTTGCTTAGCATTCTTTTAAGAATTCATTTTATCTAAGCTGTTGTAGGCCAGAGAAAAAGGCTTTATTTCTGGTTTTGATTTTTTTTTTGTTTGCTTTGTTTTTTGTGGAGTGTCCTAAAGGGGTGTCTGTCCACAGCATCTCTTTGCAGGAGCCTTAAGAAAGCACATTACTGGTTACATATCTGAGTGATATAATGGAGGAAAAGAAACTTTTAGATGTTGTCTTTTAATATAATATTTAGGGGCTTTTAGCCTCTACAATCAGTAGTTAATAATTCTGCTTGTAAAAAGTAATGAAAAGCACTCCCATCCTCTTAGAAACCAAATCAAACCCCTCTAATTTGATAAACTTCATACTGCAGACCAGATTAAAAAAAAAATACCCTGGAGAAAGTACTGGAAGAGGAGAATCTCATAAAAAACTATAGTCCCACATGAGTAAGACTGTCTTTTCTCTCTGGTTTGCCCTGACAAAATTCTTCTAGATTTGAATCTCTGACTTTGGTTCTGTAACTCAGAGCAGGCCACTCTGCTGCTTCCTCTGGTGAGAACATACCCCTCCTTCTGCTTGCAGCGGGCGCCACTCAGCACTGCATTTTATTCCCCTTGCCTGTCGTAGGAACGTCCCACATCTGTGTAATTGTCTTCTTGCCTGCTGAGGTCTTTTAAAGTCTCTATCCTGAAGCATATGGTGGGTGCCTGCATCCAGGCTTCCCACTTTTCTGTACTTGTAAATGGCTTGACTTTTCAGGACAAATTATATGGCCCAGTTGTTTTTTTAAGTAGAGGCAAAAACCTCAGCCATCTTTTCAGGGTTTTGGGCTGCACTCATATTTCTGTTTGGCCGCAAAAATGCAGGTTGGCCAAAGAAATACAGAAATATAACAATGACCATGCTATCCTCTAGAGCGTCTTTCTCCCATCTAAATGTGACAGCAGCTCACAGGGATACCCTTTGTCCCTTTTTCCTCACTGAGCCAGGCCATGCTTAGTGCACAGCATATTACTTTCTAATTTCAGCAGTTCTTCAGATCCCACAGTGTAGATGTGTTCATGGCACCTACTGTAAAAATAAAACTCCTGGCTGAATTGCTTCTGAATTATTTGAACTATGTAGTTTCTTAAGTTTACTGAAATAGAAGTTTGATTAGCCTTCAGGTAGTTTTGTTTCATCGTATCATATTTAAGATTGAATTATCCTGGACATTTTACTCTTCTTGTTAAGTTCAGTAAGAATAATTAAATAAACGAAACAAGTCTCCAAAATAACATAAATGTTAAATGTCTTTCCAGTTTTCATCACTAATATGCTTTCCTACCTGTATTGTAATGCTTGGTGCAGTAACATAAATCCTTTTCTTCTTTCAACAGAAACTGTGGCAGAGTGAGACCTTCTGCTACTTGAACTGCTCCCTTTTCTTGCCATTCAAAAATGAGATCATTCATTGTGTATCCAACTAAAAAGAAAAGTAAAACAAACAAAAATCGCAAATCAACTCTAAGGTAGCTGCAAACTATAAAATGCTGGGAAATACCAAATAGAGTTAAGTTAAGTAAATGTCACAAAATGGAGATAATACAGAGGTCCGCTTGCATTTGTTAATCACCAAACATTCTGAACTAGAAAAAAAAGCCAGTCTTCTGCATTCTTTGTGAAATCTTTATACTCAGTCTATTAATGGAATTAACAAAAGGATCAAAATGATCTAAACATCCAGTTTTCTTGGGTGCTTGGGAACATCTTACCCTACCCTGCCTGTGAAGGATCCAATAGGCCCTTCACACTCAGATCTCTTCCTCCTTTTATTTGAGATAAAATAGTGGATTGTGAAAGCTATGTTTATGGATGTATGTCAATTTGAATTGTAAGGTGCAAATTCTTCACAGAGAACAATGAAAGAAAATTGCAGGAGTGACGCATTCCTTGAATTGAAAAAAATACTTTTCTCTGAAACTGGTACAAAACAAGGTAGAGTTATTGATTGTAATCTTCTCATATTAGCTGACTGTGATTTATTATGACATTTAAATGCATTCAGTTTTAATATCCAGATTCCTGACTTATCTATACCTCATGCATATTTGCATAAGATTAAATAAAACAACAAAAGACATAATAGAAGTACTAATCGAGGGCCAGACTTTGTAAAGGGCAAGTACTTTCCCCTGCTTTTTCCTTCTCTCAGCTGAATATTTGCATGGGATATCATTGGGGGACTTATCTCTACTTCCTTTGAATACATCATATAATAATTTTCCAATATATCCCTGGCATTTCATTTTATTACTTTTCTGAATATATTTTATCTGGTTATGACAAATGGGGGAAAAAAAAAAGATTCCTATTCTTATTCAGTTTTTATTAAGACTCTCAAAATCTAATAGATTTGGACAAAGAAAATTTTTAGAATTAAATCTAAAACTAGATAGCTTCTGTTGTTGTAACAGTTTGAACAAAAAGGACACACTTGAGATACATCTAATAGCTTGAACCAGAAGGAAAAGGGAGTAATTTTTACATCTCAATTATATATCTTTCATTAATTTATTTTGCTTCTTTGCAATATTTCCTTTGTGCTTTAGTCCTATACTTATGAGCTGCCGAGGATAACCTACTGATAACTGCAAACATTTTTTAACTTTTCAGTAATAAATTACTGTTCAATGTATACTGTTCAGAAATTTCTAAGAGTGAACGTCTGCAGCAAATACTGAAATCTTGAGTTCCGGTGAAGGAAATATAACTTCTTTGATGTGTGGGCTTAAATCTTTCCCCTGTTATATTCAGTGACTTCATTACTCTTTGAATAAGTAAATATGAATAAATGTTGCTCAGCCATAATGGACTGATATGCTGACCTCAAATCTGAGACACATTTCATCTTTTCTGGTCAATGTTGAATGCACCTATAAGATTTGTCATTTATAAATTTTAAACTGTTTTCAAGACCTCTCCTTCCTTCTACATTATTTCTTTTGGGGAGTACCTATTCACAAGGCTTTACAACAGACACTTCGGCTGACTGGTGGATTACTTTTGTATTCTGTTGGGGCTATATGAGTATGCTAAAAAGGAGACCACATCTATTTAAATAAGTAATTAAGATCCGAAATTACTCAAGTCATTACAAGCATATATTAACTGTGCAAGGGAACACCTTATTTTTCTGTCTTATTGAATGCATGACATTCCATATACACAGCATTAAAATTCAGTATAAAATGCCACAAACTGTAAAAAAATCAAAAGTACATCACTTCTCAAACTTTGCATGAGTTCAGACAAAAAGCAGTTGTGTGTAAAGCAGATTATCATCTGACGTATGTGGATTATGGTCAGAAGTGGTATCTCCTGAGTGAAACTTACTGAATTGACAAGAAACAACTGCTGTGTCAAAATGTATTTCACTAAATCAGATTCATTCATCTCTAATGCATGCTTTTAATTTTGATTATCTACCCTGCCCACTAATTATGCTTTAGTGTGATTTGGTAAAAATAATAGCAGTGTATGCAAAAAGCTGATATATTAAGTAATTTTTGTCATGTTTACATTTTAAATGCCCAAATGTAGCTTTAACATCCAATAGTGTAATTTCCATTTTGTAAGATCATAGTTATAAAGTAAGTATGTCTTAAAATATAGAGGAGCTCTCAAATATATTGGAGAAGTCAGTTTATGTTATATCAAAGAAATTTTAAATAGTATAATGTGTGTAATATTTCCACTACGTATGTTAAATTAACTTAAATCTCTATGAAATTTATGGACCTTTATTAAATATGAAATACATGGCCCAATCAAATGCGCCCATGGAATTAGGGAAATCTAAAACCTTGTAACAGTCCTGTAACAGGGGAAGTGAGAAAACATAAATTATTTAAGATATTGAACTATTTGCTAGCACAAATTTGTCTCTAAATTTTCTTTAGTGAGAGCTGTTAACAAGGACAGGTATTTTTGATTTTCCAACTGAAACAATTTTGTTAATTAGTACAGCTTCAAATGAACCGAAAATCTCTTCCTTTCTCTTTTTTTCCAACTACCACATCATTGTTCTTAGCATGGAGAAAAAGAAGAAAGACTACATTGGCGAGTATCTACTCACCAACAGAAATAAGGAAGAATCAGTGAATTTGCAAGAACAAACTGCAGCTCATGTTCTAGGCCTATCCCAGTATATTCTATGCACAGAAAGGGCTAAACCCTACATTCTTCTGGTTTAGAAATTATTCAGGAGGAACAGCAATACTAAATGAACTCACTGAGCTTCCTAAATATCTCAAAAACCAAGAAAATATTTTTTGTTTTTAAATAATTCTACAAAGAACTGCTGAATAGCACAGTGGTTAACACAGAATGCTCATGGTATTATGAGCACTATGCATAGAAAGACATTTCTATAGAAATGACCTTTTGAAGCAGTCAGTGGTTACCATACTGTAGCATATATACTGCTACATTTATATACTCAAGAAGCCTATAAATCAGTCCTCCTAATTTTGTCAGTTTTGTTGGTTAATGTAATTAGTGTCCCTTATTGAAGTGTCTGGGCTCCCAAGAAGACATCATGGCAGATTTTGAAATTACCTTAAAGTTCTGTCTTAGCAACAAAGTAGAGTCTTACGATATTGGTATGGATAAGGCACCAAATTGCTCAGTGCCATCAAGAGCAGGGGAGTGGTGGGGCTTTAAGTGCACAGCAAGTAGCAGAAATGTAGGGAACTTTGGTAATGAAAATTTTGAAGCTTCAAGAGCAGAGTGTTACTTTTTGGATTTAAGATCCTTGAATTGCCAGTCATAAACGTGTACAGTATTAGAATTATGTGGATTACTTTAAAATTCCGATGCCACTGCCTGAGTTCAATGGGACTATACAGATCTTTCATGCATAAGTATTTGCAATACTGAGACCTACATTTGCAAAATGGAAATGATTAGCTGCTGCAACAAAGAAGGATCATAGAATCATAGAATAGTTAGAGCTGGAAAGGACCTTAAGATCATCTAGTTCCAACCCCCCTGCCATGAGCAGGGACACCACACACTAAACTATGTCGCCCAAGCCTCTGTCCTGCCTTGCCTTGAACACCGCCAGGGCTGGAGCATTCACAACTTCCTTGGGCAACCCATTCCAGTGCCTCACCACCCTCACTGTGAAGAACTTCTTCCTTATATCTAACCTAAAGTTCCCCTGTTTAAGTTTAAAGCCGTTACCGCTTGTCCTACCACTAGAGTCCCTAATGAAGAGTCCATCCACTGAAATGGGTTTTACAGGAATAAAAATGAAAACATTAAAGTTATACTGTGTATATTTTCCAAATGGCCTATGTGATAAAATATCTGAGAAGCTGTATTCCATTATGTGGTATCACTGTTCAAATGGAGAGGTAAAGAACAGTGATGTGATCAGATGACCATCTTAGAAACCTTCAAATGTGAAGACTGTTCTCAGCAGATGTGTGGTTACTGGTACAAACTTGCACTATATGTCATATATTGTTAAATATGTTCTGTGTCTTTTAAGAACTGCATTCAAATATGTGGTAGTTATAAAGAATAAGATGTCTTTATTGTGCTGTTAAGTCCATAAATACTGAATTCACAGAAACTAACTGTCAGGAAGAGCTGGCACAATCTAGGACCCTGATTTTGTGGAAATAGAGGAATCAACTTGCAGCAAAGTCATAGAATGAGGAATTGTGCATCTTGCAGTTTTCCAAGTTCAGATTCACACCTATAAAAGCGCTGTCTCCCCAATGATACCTGTTTCTAGATGGCCATGCCATAAAAGCCCATGCCAAATATTAATGTGGTGATGAATTTTGCAGTTTTGTTATGTTGGGTTTTTTAGTTTTGCAAAAATAACAAAATGTGTAATCACATTTTGTATGCCTCTAACATTTCTACCAAGAAGGCACTGTATTTTGTCTAGGGAAAACAGTGTCCTACTCAACTCTGAGCATACAGAAATGATCCAAAGTCAATCAGAAGACTGCTTTTATGAACTACACATAACTTTAAATGTTTATTAACTCTGTTTATAGATGTATGGAGCTTATTCTGTAGTAGACATAAGTGCTTAGCTCTTGAATTCTGATTTCGTGGTTATGACTTGAGTATAAGATGTTTTCTCTCTGTGCCTTGTTTCTGCTTTGTATTCTGCTTTCCATAGGAAATGTGGTGTGCCTGCCTGAAGGGAGTCCTAACCTATGTGTCCAGAATTAAAATTTGTGAATCTGTTTCTGCACACACTTGTCTTTGAGGGTAAACTTTTGCCACATAATAGTCATTCCTATTTTCAAATTCTTGCTGTTCGGTCTTACTATATTATCTCTCTTGCTGCTGCTTTGTGAGCAGAACATATATATCTCTTATTTGCATTTTCTGCAGCCCAACATGATATCCAAAGTCTCACTAAAAAGAAGTTTTTCTTTTTTGACTATGAGATCGTAT